CTTTGTTTTGTTTTGCTTTACTCTATAGCTCGAAATAGACTTGAACTTGCTGTAATCCTCCTGCCTCAGCTTCCAAAAAAAAAAAAAATCCTTTCTTTGGAGCTGGAATGATGGCTCATCGGTTAAAAGCACTGGCTGCCCTTCCAGAGGATTCAGGCTCAGTTCCCAGCACATACATGGCAACTCACAACTGTCTGTAACTCTAGCTTCAAGGGATCCAGCGCACTCCTCAGGCACCAGGCACACAAGTGGTGAGCAGACATACATGAAAACAAAACACCATATGCATAAAATAATAAAAATATTTCATTGTTTTTCCTAGCAGGAAGTGGGGTCATCACCTTCTCTTTCCATTTCCTAATGATTTAAATAGATTTTTCCTCTTAGGAGCTTTCATGGGTTATTTGGTTGTTTGGAGAGTTTTTTGTTTGTTTGTTTGTTTTGTTTTGAAGACAGGAGAGGACCGTGAACTACAGACGCCTCCTGTCTCCACTTTCCAAGTACGGATTACAGGAGTGCATTAAGAGACCGATGTTTTGGATTTTTGTTCGTTGGTTTGGATTTTGAGACAGTGTCTCACTGTTTAGCTCTTGGCTGGCTTGGGACTCACTGTGTAGACCAGGTGAGCCTTGAAATCACAAAGAGCTGCTTGCATCTGCCTCTTCAGTGCTGGGACTAAAGCCGTGCACCACCAGGCCCTGCATGGTTTGTTTTGTTTGTTTTCTTTTTTCTGGGATCACGTTTCACTGTGTAACTCGGGCTGGCCTCTGGCAGAGAAATATGTACTCTTAACCACTGAATCTCTCTTCAGACTTTAAAAAAATAGTTTAAAATTTGAGCAGTTTTTTTTTTTTTAAATGTGTGTGGATGTTTTGCCTGTAGTGCCTGTGGGGACCAGAAGAGGACATCAGATCCCCTAGAACTGGAGTCATAGACAATTGTAAGATGCCATATAGGTGCTGGGAACCAAACTTAGGTGCTCTGGAAGAGTGCTCTTCACTGCTGAGCCGTTGTGGAGTCTAACAATGTTTTCTTCATTTTCTGTTGCTTCCTATGACCTGGGACTCTCTGGACTCCCACAGACACAATGATGCTGCCACAGTGACAGACAAACCCAAGAGATGCAAGACACCCCCACTGATGGCATCTTCAATTAATATGCCCATGAGAGCGACTTTGACCCACAGCCTCTGGGAACAAGAGGACCCAAATGAGAACTTCCTGCAGGTTCCTGTAGCCAGCTCCCTAGGAGAGAACTTTTTGGGACCTTAACACCTAGCCAGACGGGTGTCAGCCCTGTCTTCCATGCGTTTGCTCTGCCTCGTATAATGCTGCTTCCCACAGTGGGCCAAGGAACCATGGGAGAGACGAGGTGGTGCTTACGCCAAGACGCTCCGCTACTTCCACCAATAAATCTCCAATCGAGTCCTCCTCGTTGTCGTAGGTTGTGTTGGGGGTGGGGAGATGTGGGTGGCTGGCTAAGAGCTGGCTGGAAATCGACGGTCACTCCTCAGGAAAATAAATGGGAAGGAAGCTATCGCCTGCTCAATTGAAAGCCTGAAGCATCTAAGCCAAGCCGATACATCCCGTGCAAAGAAAACGGCCCCTGGAGAGAACTCTAACTTCCGTTACCAAGGAAGAAATGGGCTTTTGGTATATAGAAATCCTGAGCATGATGGCAACCAGCTATGAGATAACCTCATCCGTCTCAAGTAAGAAATCGAGGGTTCATCTCTCAACTCCCTGTGTTAGGGTAGAAGCCTGCCTGCACGCCCTTGGCCATGAACTAAGGGAGATGTGGCTTCTGGTAAGAGTGGTGGTGACTCCTCATCAAAGAAATTCGGACTGCCCTGACTGTTCACTCCTGGGACCTAGTGAAAGCAAGCTGGGAGATCTTGTGTCTTGCAGGTTTCTGAGCAAACATCCTTAATTGTGTAGGGGATAATCAAAACTGTTCTCACCTCCTAGACCATTAGGAATATTTACCCAGAATATACCACCATAATATCCAAAAAGTGTTGTGGGATATTTTGATCGCACTGTGACACTCCAGAGGCCAATAAAGTTTACCTGGAATCAGGGGGCGGAGCCAGCGACTAGCGGACTAGAATTGGCCATAGAGAAGCCAGCGGTTTAGATAGAGAAGATGCTCAGGAAGAAAAGGGCGGGGACTAGAGTTTGAGCTTCCTTTTAGTTCCGGGACGAGGGAAGAGATTCGTCTCTTGCGGTGTCACTAGCCAAGGCCAGCTGGTTGCTTTTCGGCTTCTCTAATCTAACAGGTTTTCACTCCGATATCTGACTTCCAAGTCCTTCTTGGTAAATAAAATGATAGAGACAGTTTAAACCTACATATGGCGGTCATAGCAGAGCCCAGCACGGCCTGAGTGGCGGTTGGGGTGCTGAATGCAGGGCCATGGGGCCCAGACAACAGTTAAAATATCAGTAGGTTCATATGCAGCTGCTAAACAGACAGAAAAAAAATGCGTATTTAATGACACCTCTGTTTGGTGCCTTGTTTGGTGTGTGGTGTTGGGCTCATCAGAAGGAATAAGAGAGAAGGAGAAGTTTCCTGTCCTTGGAGACAGCTTGGTGCAGCTACTGAACTCTGTTTTAAAGATAAGGGAAGACCATTAATGTTGACATGACATTTATGCCACTCAGTTCCTAAATAAAAGTTGGAGGACCTGCCTTCTTGTATCTCACATCATGTGTGATGGCAGGAGGAGGAACATGGCTGTCCCGTCCCAGGAAGGCTTGGTTAATCAGAGGAGTAAATCCTGGCAGGATTGGGTTATGCAAGATACTGAGAGGCTATCTAGGGCCTGTGGCTTTCTTCCTCCCTCCATGGAGAACAAGCACACCTTTGAACATGGTTCTAGTTAGTTTCTTGTCAGCTTGACCCAAGCT